TACTAGGAGCATGGAGTCCAGTCGAGCTCTTGGGCTCATTGTGCCTTGGAGGTGAGTCGTAGCGATGGCCTCCAACCTACTATATAGTATACAGTATACATACTACTAGGAACAAGAACGCTACTAGGGGCTCCTGGCATCGCTACTAGGAGCAAGAGGCTACTAGGGGTTCCTGGCCTTACTACTAGGAACAAGAATGCTACTATTTGGGCTCCATGTCGCCCGCGGCCTTGGAGGTGAGGAACCTCGCTTGCGATCCCCCTGCGTTGGTTTGGATGAACTTGGGCACCTGAACAGCGACGGAGTCTACGGCCGGTCGTAGTCTAAGGCGGTGTTGGACTTCTCCAACAAGTGTCATGTTCAAAATGCATGTGTGAATCTAAATGGGAACGGATTGATCAAAGCCAACATTCAAACTCCTCAGTACTATCAAACCGTTGAATCAAACCCATCAAGAAAGAAGCGAAGCAGCAACATGGATGTTCATCTCGTAGGTCAACCGTTCAACCCATCTAGGATTCTGTAGGATTCTGACTGGGAAGCGGTCTGCGAGGATGTGCTTGGCATCCTCTGCAGGCGCAGTGAGAAGTGCCTGCCGTGCTTCTGCGGGACAAATGGTCAGACTTGTGGCGTCGAAGGACCTGGACATGGACGGGTGATGACCGATGACGAAATTCATTCACCCCATGCGGCCTTCCTAATTACAGGTGGCTCTTCTTCTTTAACTGGACCATTCTTTCACCAACTGAATGGCTCTCAAAACCTGATCGTGGGACCCAAGTCAGGTGAGGGCACATCTTCGAACTGGACATCGAAGACATCTAGACGATGTCTGCGAGTCGACGCGAGTCGATGACGCTCCTCCACTTCGGGTGATACAAACGAAATGCGTCCTGGTCCACCGTCCTCCTGGTCCTTCATCAGTTCTCAAACAATACGTCACCGAGAACTATGGACCCGACAGAAGCGAGAATATGGATGATGGTTCGTGCTAGTACTAGAGGTTGCTGACTAGCCATGGAAACAAATTCTCCCCTCCCTGGTGCACTCGAGGTGTCTGATCGAAATGATAGAATGAACTCATCTCATCTGTCCAAATTCCGATTCTTTCAATTGTCATCACTTCCTCAGTCAGCACCAGTGGGCACAGTGCCAACCCACAAACCTTGGCTGCACGTGCCTTGAAATTTGCATACTCATCCTTCTCCTGCGGTCACATCCGGTGTCGATTTCTCACGGTGTCAAACACAGCGACTTCTCGGCCTGGTAGCCCGCATCATACCATGCCTGGATCATCTCACCTGAGTCGAACAAAAGACCGGTCGAGGGGAGCAAATCATGGCTTCACATCCCAACAAGCTCTCCATAAATACATATATATATATAATCATATGTCGTATGAGCGTCCTTCCTCTGCCCCACTTGCCTCCCTTTCTTGGCCGGACCTTTGCTGGCCGGAAGGGACCCTTTGGTCGACCCGCCGATTTGGCCACGGGGCCACGCCAGATCACCACGTGAAAAAAGGCATCGAGAAGCAAAATCACGTTGGGCCTCAGGGAAGCCGAAGGCAGGACTTCGACAGCTGAAGGCAGTCGAAGAATCGCCTGCTTTCTTCGTCAAGTAATCCATGTCTTCTTTCTTTCTTTTTCGGTGGTCACTTCTGAGCGCAGGAAGGCAACAAAAAGCAGTGTGGAAACCGAATTCAGTCTGTTTTCATGATTCGTGACATGACGGAAATGTTGCACCTGGCACTGCAGCAGGAAGAAAGACTTAGATGGCTGTGAGTCAAAGACCTAATTACCTGGAAGGTCGTTCGCTACATGGTGGACCAGGGCTCCTGGTTTTGGCCTATCCCCATATCACTCTTTTCTGGACCTGCTCGAGCAGCACCCCAGGCGATTTGCACCATTTTATTGCTTCTCTGGCGCCAACTGATCCGCAGTTCTCGCGATCTGCCGATCTGCCAATCTCCGTCAGGCCATGCGGTAGAAATTCCTCGCTCAACCACTGAACTTTGAGTGGTTCACCATGCCTTCATCGATCGAACCACTTGACTCCGGCGGAGTCGCACCACTTAGCTGGTTGTCCTTGGACCACCAAGCACAAGCGTGGTTCCAGCAAAAACCCACCAAACAGCTCTCGAGCCAAGTCCCAAATTCTTGAAAAAGCTGACATGGTTTGAGTTTACAAAGTCCGGCTGTATTGCTCAATGTCCCCACCGCAAGCATTCAAAGTCATAAAAAGAGCTCAAGCACAATGTCTTCATTTCACTTTCTACAAATTCTGGCGACACGGCCTTCCCAATCTTGCTCTCTTCCAAGGTGCTTGTTCTCCAGCTGGCCTGTGCGGGCTGCCACCACCCACTCTGTGAGCCAGCTCAAACCATCTGGATCTTCCCTGACAGGCAGCTGTGGCTATGTCTCAAATACATACCCACCAATGATGGATGTGTCCCATTGGCATGGGTATTTGGATGGCCACAAGATCAATTGACCATGGCCGCATCAGTATCCCACAAACCACACTAGACGTGCGAGGAGGAACGGTGCCGGAGAATGTGGCTTTTGAGCTGGAGAGTGCATTTAAAGCCACTCCAGAATGCAGGCTCATTTCGATCTAAATAGTACAGTATCTTGTTTGTCAAAATGCATCTGTATGATTCGTTATGCTCATGGGATGTTCTACCACAAGCAGGGGGTCATCTGGCTTTGGGAGGCCTCCTTGAGCCCTTAGAGCCCATCTTGACTTGGGCGTGGAGGCACCTCTTGGCCTTCTTCCAGTCTCCAGTGCGTGCCGCACCATCCAGGCACATGTAGCTGCCATTGGGCAGCAGCCCTTGGTCGTCGAGGTATGGCCTGAGGGACGAGTGAAGGGCTTCAGAGACCAACAAATGGGGTAACATGGTACTCCCAGGAAGGGGGGGTCATCACAAAGTGAAGCTGCCAAAAAGCCAAACATCCAACGTCCGAGCGTCATCTCTGTGGCGCTGTCAACGCCAACCTCCTCTTCCTCTGCCTCAGTGGCGCAAGGGATCGCATTCAAATAAACATCATTGAGAAGTACAAAGGACGCTACTAGGAACAAGGGCATCGCTAAAGAGCAAGGACGCTACTAGGGGCTCCTGGCCTTACTACTAGGAGCAAGGACGCTACTAGGGGCTGCTGGCCTTACAGAGCACAACGTCGGGGCCCCCAGAGCTTGAACTGTGCATGCCAACCCCTTGCCGGTCCTGGTCAGTCTCCTTTGTTCAGCATCCTCTTCAACGGGAATGAATAAACTGGAATGAGTCTTGGTAGCTCATTAGGGTGTCTCATGGCCGGGGCTCATGGCCGGGGCCGCTGGCCATGGGGGTTTCCCAGCGATGGGCAGCATTTTCTAGCCTAAACACAGATAGCTTAAGGCTAGAAAATGCTCAAAAATATTCAAAAAAAAAGTGTTGTCCACTACAAAAGCCTGATATTTGAAAGTTCCCATCATCTTCCATCTACTTCTCGTGACATTGTCCCGTGCTCAGTGGACTTGTCGAGGGGCCCCGACCTGGTTCACATTCACAGTCCAAGGAACGTCGGCCGTGTCATCTTCAGCCAGGCGCTGGATCAGCACGCTCTGCGCGTTGGGGAAGGCAGAATGCATGCGACGTGAGGAACATCTCACATGGTGATCAAGATGACTTCCTTGCCGGATCAACCTGATGTCGTCTTGAATCCCATGAACCAACGGTTCTGGCAACGCTCTGACGCTCTGGCAACGTTTCTGGCTGGGTTGGACCTGTCTCTACAGACAGGCCCTTGGTCACTGTCGTCAGCTAAGAGGTCACGGAAAACCCAACTCCCAAAGCCCACCTTGCGTCCTGTCACGGTAAGGCCACGGCTTTTTAACTCCGCCTGCGGACAGGGGCTTAGTAGTCACGGGACCGAGGAAACCTTCATAGAGACGTCGAGCGATCGTCCACGAGGAGGCCTTTTGGCCTTGCAGTGAGGCAATGTACACACCCAAAGTACTCAAATGCTGGAAATCAAATCTTCGAAGGATCGGATGAGCCAACGACCCGGGTGGGCGGAACTGAAAAGTGGTTCCTGCACTGCGGAGCCTTCAGGTCCTGCACGGTCATCGACTCATAGCCAGCCCTCAGCCTGCCGTCTCAAGACGGATGATGTCTGAAAGCAGAGTTGATGAGCGGGAGGCCGTCGCTCTTAGTTATATGGGTTCGAGGTCATCGCTCTCAGGTTGGAGGCCATGAATCTTAGGTTGGAGGCATTACAATTAGGTTGGAGGCCATCACTCTTAGCCTTGACTCTTGACACAAAAAAACGTTACAACGTTGACGCGATCCATGGGAGTCGTTGACGTCGTTGGCTTGACTTTCTTCTGGGCCCAACAGAACTTGTCAACGACCCGACATGGAAGCTGGACCGAGTGGCTTTCGGATGTCCTACAGGACCAAGTTTGCAGGCTTCCAACCCTTGCTTCAAGCCGGGGCTTTAGTTGGACCCCCATCTTGCCGGACACCTGACATGATGCACTGTTCTGTGGCGGCAGCGCGTGACGGAGGGCGTCACGAAGGTGATGCAAAGCTCCTCGCCAAGTTTCTCGTGTCCATCAGAGGTGAATTTATATACAGTACATGTGTATGTGCGAATATGTGTATATACATATATATATATATGTGTACAAATACATATTTATTTAACAACTCGCTCTTCCAAGCACTGCCTTTTTCCTCCAACATGAACGTGCACAGGGTGGAGCTTTTCCACCTATCCAACTCCACTTCTTCCCATGCGCCCCAAGTCTTCCTTCAGCAGGAGGGGGTACCAAGCCGTTGGCACAATGCCCAACCTCAGGAAACGCTGCACTGTAGCAAAAACAACAGGGAATATGTGAGCAAAATTCATGACAAGCTCCTTCGAAGAGGGAGGTATACGCTTCAGATACAACAAAGATGCAGTCTCCTGCACATAAATCTCCATAATCTTTGCTGACAACCACCTCCCCTTTCGTCTGGTGTACTCACCATCTTCTGTTGTTTGGAGGTGCCACGTGGCACCTCCCAACCTGAGACTTCCTGGGTCTAGCGCCTTCATGTCGCCAAGCTTTTGGGTCGGAAGCTTCAGTGCAGTCAACACGTCCCTGAATCTGGTACGAAAGGTCTGACCAGACCAAGGCCACAACTTTGCACTGGGAGGCAAATTCCCAAAACAGAAGTTCACCACTTCCAACAAATCTGGCGCATCCAGTTTAGCCGCTTGATGTCGAGCTCCCGTTCTTCTTGTTTTAGGCTCCTTTATGGCCAGTAGACCAAAAGCAATCGTGAAATCAACATCCTTTGGCAAAAGAAGGTCGGCTCTGCTTGAAACAAAGATCTCGCCAGGTCTAAGTAGGGCTCCCCAGCAATACTTGCCAGGGCACGGCAACGTGGTGCGAGCCAGGCTCTGCATGGAGCCAGGAAAAGGCGACATCCCATGCCCCTTGTAACAAGCGTCTTATGGCCGGCTTCTTTGTCGTCAAGGCGTTAAGAGTTTCAGCACATTGGTTATACGGTTTACCAGCGTTGTATAAAGCTCTACCAAGTCTTGACATGACAGCGTTGATATCATCAATGCATTCGACATGGTGATGAAGCAAGCTTTCAAAATCAATACCTTCAACAACCAACCACTGCTCGAACTGAGTCCAGTACCGATCTCTCAAGCGTCCCGTGATGGGCAGCGTAGGTCTGCCTTCTTGCAGCGGTTCAGCCGCGCTTCGTTCAGCAGCCCTCAAAAAGTGGATCGATACATGGCTGCACAACCTAACGGGCCGGCCCCAGCAAGCACCCAAGCAAGGAGCAGCAAAGTCCACGAGGGGAGACGGAGGAGCTGACAGAGGCCCAGCCACACACGACGAAGCAGCGAAGCAAGCCAAAAGGAAAGCAGCAATGCTTGGAAGCCAAAATGCTGTTAGGCAACAGCTTGGATGTGGTGCATGAAGAGGTCCTTCTCCTGGATAGCCCAATGAGGAGTGAAAATCACGGGGCGCGTACACAAAGTCAGGGCAGCTGAGGTCATAGGCGGAAGATCCCTTCTCTAGGTAGTCGATGCCGAAAGGTGGTTCTATCGTTGAACTCGGTCAACCTCGGGCCCACCATAAAAAGCAGAAGCCTGATCCAATTCGACGCCCACCTCCTTGTAGGGGGTATACAGGCAATCTTCCAGAGCTCGCGATAGGAGAGCTGGTGCCAGCCAAGACCAGGTACTGGAGGTCTGAGTGCCTTGTCTGTGGTGGGATCATCTGCGCAATTCGACCTCGTAGGGCAGAAGGGCGTGACCATGTAGAGCCCAAAAGCGACCATCACTGCAGAAATCCTTCGGAGCACCGCAGACAAAGCCAAGGACGCAGATCTGCCCTTGCCAAGTGCACAACGGGTGACATTGGAGTCAACAAAGTTCACGAACCTAGAAGGCCCAGCTTTTGCTCGATCCTCCGCCAACCTTTCGACTGATTTCAGCTCCAGCAAATTGATATGCGACGGCCTTTTGAACTTCCAAGACTTCCTGACCTCGCAGGAGTTAGAGAGCATCACTTCATTCACCAACTGATTCTCAAGTCCAGCAACTCGCAGCTCATCCTCCTCCTCTCTACGGTACTTGATGACCTTGATGGCATGATGAATGGCCCAAGCTAGGGCTGCTGCCAGTTCAGGAGTGTAAATGGCGGAGGCTTTGGTGTAGACACCTGCAATAGGCACATGGCTGCATTTGCCTTGACAGCGGCGTGCAATGCTCTTCATATCAACATCTGCCACCAGGAAGGCGAAAGACTTTTGGTGAATGGAGCCGTACTGGCATGAATCAATCCTCACCTCATCAACTCCTGGCCACTGCAGTGCGGCTTGGTAGCTTGGAAGAAACTTGCTCAATGCACTAAAGGGCCTCTCCAGAAGTCCAGCGATGTGATGAATTGCTGCCTTCTTCAAAAGCTGCAAAGCACGGAGGAATAGGAGATTGCCAAGCCTGGTCTTAGGTTCATCTGTATCAAATCCCAAAGGAACCCTTCTACTCCTCAGGGCTACGTCGCGCAAGGAGGCTCCAATGCTATAGCAAGCAATCTGCCCTCCTCGATGAGGTGAAAGAGCCAGGAGAGAACATGGACTCCCTCGAAAATGGAGATGTCCAAAGGTGGCCCCACATTGACACCAAGCTCACTCATAGCAGCTGAGATTCTGCTAGACCCCGCAAAGACTTCGATGAACTCAAATCTAAAAGCGACAGGTCTCTGAATACCCGGTGGTCGACTGTCTCCACTTTCATCGTCAAGGCCTTCAGCCGTGATTGGAAACGGATGCACATCATTGCTGTCCTTGCTAAGTCGAGTGTAGGCTCCTTTCGTCCTGCAGATCTTGGAGAGCATGAAGGCGATATCACTACCGAGGAAGGAGGAGCAGATTGCCCCCCTGCTCTCGGATGCATCTGTGGCATAGACCATGTCCTCAAAGCCCACTGCAATGTCGCTCAACATTAAAGGGGCCAGGACAGCGCACATCACAAGTTCTTCAGCAACTTTCCTCGACAAAGGCACCAAGGCTCCTTCATCAATATCCGAAAAGCGCTCGTTCACGACAAAAGCTTCATTCAGCAGATTCATCATCGGCCTCCGATACAATAGCATCGAAACCCAAGCCCCGACAACGCAGCGATGAAGTGAGACTGTGGTGTACGGAAGAGCACAAGCCTGCAGCGTCAGAAAGGACAGGGCAAGCCGTTTCTGGGCCGGGGCACCAACTGTGCAAACTCCTTGCGCAACAGTTTGTGGACCACCATTGAGGTAGGCTCCTATAACCTTTCCTTCTGGTTGTGCGACGACGTCCTTCTCCGGGGACCCCAAAAGCTCAAAGTCTTTGTATGCCTCTTGCGCCTTCGTGTAGGCAGAGTGTGAGCGGGACTGTGTGGCAGGGGTCGCCTTCTCATCAACTGACACGCTGAAGAAGTCGTCAATCACAAGGCCCTCAACTGCAGTTGAATCAAAAGAGGGTCTGTTTGCAACTAGATGAACATCCTCAGAAAGCAGTCCATACATTTGCAAGAGTCTGCTGCGCGCATCTGTTGCTATCTCAACCCCGCCATGATCTCCTTGGAGAACACTTTTGAAGCTGGCCCAAACTAAGCCCTCATTGACCTCAGGGCCAGCAGCAAGTCCAAGTCTATCACCGTGCCTCTCTCTGGAGTACTTCTTCCGCACGTCTGTGAGCAGAAAAGTCTGAAAGGCCTCTGTATCTTTGACCATCTCAACTGGCAACCCCGGTCCAAGGGTATTTGTAATTGCTCTGGCTCTCGTTGCCCAAAGCTGATGATAAAAGTCTCTACGGTCCGAGATGGACACACGCAGACGGTGAGTGCGAAGGTAAATGCTCAAATCACAAAGATCCTGGCCTTCAGGTAGGTTGCATGAAGGCCCTTGAAGCACACCCTCAACTGCGTTCCGGCCACGCGATCACCTATCTGCCTGTCTCTGTCAATGGCCTTGTAGCAGTTGAATACACGCACCAATTCACAGCTTCTTCGAGTTTGGAGCCTGGAGCGATGCAAAAGAAGAAGTCCCTGACTGTCCCAGAGTTTAGCCAGCTGTGCAATGGTTTCAGGTGGATCTCGGAGACGGGGATATTCCCAGGGTGCTGGATCTCTCTCGACCTTGATACTTTCAGGCTCACGATAAGCCATCACCAAACTATCGCAAAGGAACTCTGTCACGTCCCAATGGCCTCGCCCAAACAGGAAGAGGCGTGAAGGATCCAGGTCTCGATATGGTTCCAGCTCTGGGTACTGCGTATTGTCCTTGGCAACATCATAGCCTGTAAATACCCGAGAATAAGGCGACGCCGAACAGCCCAGCATTGTAAGCATAGACGTCAACTCATTCAACCTAGCAAAAAGCTCTGGATTCTTGCGGCCAACATGCAGAGAGTCAAATCCTGCAGTGAGGCCGTCCGACTTCACAAAAGCTCGAATCCTCTTGTACAAAGCACGATGAAGAGGGTTAGGAGCTCTCCACAAAGAATCCAAGTCCTGGAAGCTACCGCCAGAATGCCAAAAATTTAGGGCCATACAAATAATATGCACAGCTCTCGCAAGACCGGTGGCTCGTCTTCCTGAACTGGAGATTCCTGCAGGCATCCTGTCAAAACAGCCATCAACTGGCGGAGGGACAGGGAACAAAGCCGGTGAAGTAGAAGACCTTGGCAAAGGACCTCTGGAAATACGTATGGAGGAAGCAACAAAAGAAGCAAAGGCTGTACGTGATCTCAACACCAGTGTAGTCAGCTTCATACACCACAAAGGGTAGCTAACTCGTCTGATGACGCCGTGCTTAGACCCGCTCAACCCGTCCTTGGGACGGCTCGGAGGCTCCGACGTGAAGCTTCCTTTGCCGACCCCGGGACCGAAAGGGGAGCTCAGAGGCCTAGAGGGCAGACCACCATCACCAGTCGGCTCCGCGCACGTCGGATCAGGCGGCTCACCCAAAAGGTCCTTCTGAAGGTCACATGCACTCCAGCTTGTCTTCGAACTGGAGGTGAATTCTTTCCTCAGGGGCGTCATCTTCATTGCTGTCTGTCTGGGCTTCTTCGGGAATTTGGGACGTCTCTTCGGGCTGGGGGATTCTTCTTCTCCCTTGCCACTGCTTTGACCTGGCTTCTTGGTCCTGGTTTCTTGCCTTCTGGACTGCAAGACGTCGATCTCCTTGAGGTAGGCCAGGTTGATTGAGGCGAGCTGGGGAGGTATCAGACGCGAGAAAGGCCTCCCTTGCGGCAGTGATGGACTGCATCTTCTCCTGGAAGAGGGCCTGGACCCTCCACAAGGGATAGCACGTATGCTAGACCCCAGTCGCCCGCATCGAATGCACTTTGCTCGAGAGCCATCACTGATAGGGCCAAATACTCTTTGGTAGCAAAGAAGTCTCCTGAGGCCGCTGCATCCAAAGCGTGACCCAACATCCACATCGTGAGGCCTGCTTCTTTCTGGCCCTTGAATCCCCCATAGCGCTCCAGATAGGTCAACAACGAAGGGGACTTCCTTTGAGTCTCCTCCTCTGATCTGGGAGGGACTGCAGACGGACTGAGCCTTCGGAAGATCTGCTGCTGGAGAGCCAGGAAGAAACTCGACTGCCTGGAAGCGAGCTCCTGCTGTAGCTTCTCTCTTTTCACGGTGCCTCTTGTGGAACTCGAAGCTGCACCTCCAGCGTGGAAATCCATGCTGAGGGAATCGCCTCCTTGAACTAGATGAGATACCAGTGCATTGAGAGCCAGGGCCTCTGTTCGGGTGTCTCCAAGGGCGCCTTGACTGGATCGTAGGGCTCGTCTGATGGTAGTAGAGCCGGTCCAGAAGTCCCAGCAAATGCTCGCGTCTTCGGAGGAGGCCCGGCAAGCTGCAGGGCCCTGGAAGCTGATCGATGCATTTCTGGACTCTGTAGACCTGCTGAAACTGCTGGCATCTTGGGCACCATGCCTTGGGCAGGTGTACGGGGTGGCGGAGACTTGAAGACCACCGCCTTCTCCTCCAGTTCTGGATTTTGCCGCTGTTGAGAGGTCAGAAGCGACACTTGAGCGGACAGGGTAGCAATCTGTTCTGCCAACACTGCTGTTGTCATTCGTTTTGCAGGGGGCCGTTTTGCAACCCCAGG